GGTTTTGTTATTTAGTTTTGTTACTTAATCCCTTTTTAGTTTTCGACCCCTCGTGGTCCTTTTGTTTTGTTAGCCCTTCCTTGTGTTTTCCGTTTTCCTTAAATAAACCCCTTTTTGTTCTGGAGCCGCCAGTGGGTCGTCCACCCTTCTTCTGTGCCTGCCATGCCTCGTTCCCGTGCCCGAGATGCCCACAACCGTGACACACACTATATATAAACACACACACACATATACAGTATGTGTATGTATGTATGAGTATGTATGTATGTATGTATGTATGTATGTATGTATGTATATATGTATGTATGTATATATATATATAGTGCCTCGCAAAAGTCTTAAGGAGTCAGAGAAAATGAGCAGGGTATTATGTGTATTTTTCCTCAGAAAACACAGTTTAACCTTACATCATATGAAGTTTTAGATACACAGTAAAAGCCAAGAAGAATTTCTTCTGTTTTTCAAAAAGTCCATAATATCTTGCAGAACTGCTTGAAGACCATCAATTTGATTTCCCGAAAGTCCTTTAAGGGACTCCCCAGCCATTCCATATACATGGTAAATTTCACCAACAACTCACTTCAATTAACTAAATTACTTTGAGTCAATGAGATATCAGTTAGCCAAACAAGGTGTGTTGGGGTGGGGGTTAAAAGTATATAGGTGTATAGGGTGGTTACTGCAAATACTGGGGTGACTTTAGGAGAGGTGTTGCGATGACTTAATGAGCTAACACACTTTGCCAGACATCATAACAGTTTTATCACTCTCTGTGTTCTAGGCCACGTCGCTCGTGTTGAAAAGGCTTACTATAACACATATCACTACAATTGAGATTGGCTTGAGCAGTATACCTGTAGTATATTGTATTATGACAAAGATACTGAAAGTGGATTCATTTTTTCTCTACTTTTAATCTTGCGCCGATGACCAGGAAAAGTAGTTGTAAGATGGATGGATGATTTTCATTTATTAGTATTTTTTTTTATTATCACTATCACATGTTACAGTACATTTCATGCAAAGGACCACCATTAAGATTCAAGATTCAGATTCAATTTGTTATGATCCGAAAAGGGGAAGCAGGAGCAGGGACACGGAGAGCTGGGTAAACAGGGTTTTATTTTAGGAAGCACCAAAACCGCAGGACAAAAGCATACAAACATCAATAACCGGACAGGGGTAAGACAGATTTGGAAACACTAAATACCAGACTAGATTAACAAGAACTAGACACAGCTGAACACCGGGATTCCACACGAGGTAAATTAGGGGGTGTGGCACAAGGGAGGATCGGACGAGCAGGTCATGACACAATTGTTGTATTGTGATTCCTACACCTGAAATGTGTACACTGATGCCCAGTCTGTCCAGGACTGAGGCTCGAATCATCTCTATTTCTGCAAAGTTCTCCCTGTTCTGTGCACCCCAGAAACCTGCAACTAGGTGAATAAAATCCCACACAATAGAGGTAGAAACAGCTTTTACCCTAGAGCCATCATTGAACTAAACTCTGGGAACTCTGGCACTACCCTCTACACCAATAGCACGCTCCCCCCCACCGACCACCCCAACAGCAATGCCTGTCACAGACAGTGCTGATTTCCAGGTGTGCAATATTCATTCCACAAGTGCGATATACTATGAGCTACAAGTGAAATTGATCACAAAAAGGCCTATGATGTGATTTACTTAGATTTCCAGAAAGCCTTTGATGTTGTCCCCCACAAACGGCTCTTGTTAAAGCTTAAAGCTGCAGGAATTTTAGGAACTGTGGCAGCTTGGATCAAAAACTGGCTAACTGATAGGAAGCAGCGAGTAGTTATTAGAGGCACTATGTCACAGTGGGCCTCCGTTTATAGTGGGGTACCGCAGGGTTCAATTTTAGGACCACTATTGTTCCTAATTTACATTAATGATATTGACACGAATACATACAGTAAACTGGTTAAATTTGCAGACGACACTAAGGTGGGCGGGGTAGCAGATACTAATCTAGCAGCAGAGAGGCTTCAACGGGATCTGGATTTAATTAGCGAATGGGCTGATACTTGGCAGATGAAATTTAACACAGATAAATGTAAGGTAATCCATGCAGGGAGCAGAAATATACAGTACAGATATTTTATGGGTTCCACTGAAATAAAGGTAGCTGATTACGAGAAAGATCTCGGTATGTATGTTGATGCTTCCATGTCCCACTCTCGCCAATGTGGGGAAGCAATAAAAAAGGCGAACAGAATGTTGGGTTATATCTCTAGATGTGTGGAGTTTAAGTCAAGGGAGGTGATGTTACACTTATATAATTCCTTGGTAAGACCCCACCTAGAATACTGTGTGCAGGTTTGGTCACCATACCTCAAGAAGGACATTGCTGCCTTAGAAAAGGTGCAACGAAGAGCTACGAGAATGATTCCTGGTCTTAGAGGAATGTCTTACGAGGAGAGGTTAGCGGAACTGAATCTGTTCAGCCTTCAGCAAAGGAGACTAAGGGGGGATATGATTCAGGTCTATAAGATTCTAACGGGTCTGGATGCTGTTCAGCCAAATGACTATTTCAATATTAGTCTAAATACTAGAACTCGTGGCCATAAGTGGAAATTAGCGGGAGAACATTTTAAAACAAATTTGAGGAAGCACTTCTTTACACAGCGTGTAGTCAGAGTATGGAATAGTCTTCCTGCTATTGTAGTGGAAGCTAAAACCATGGGTTCCTTTAAATCAGAGCTAGATAAGATTTTAACAACTCTGAGCTATTAGCTAAGTTCTCCCCAAACGAGCTTGATGGGCCGAATGGCCTCCTCTCGTTTGTAAATTTCTTATGTTCTTATGTTCTTACTGCAAACATGCAATATTTGTCACCACACTTGTATGTACAGTATTCATTTATTTTTCTTATTTCTTAATTATGTGCTAAAGCATCAGTCTTCGGAAGCCCACAGCAAATTTTGTTATAATGTAAGTTACAATGTCAATAAAGGCATTCTAATTCGGTTCTACTTCTAATTCTAATTTGTATTTCTGAATGACCTGTTCTGTGATTGTGTTTCCAGTGATGCCCTGGTATCCCAGGTGTTCCCATGCCTTTTCCGCTAACCTATATCAGCCCATTTTGGGTAGATGCCTGGCCCAGGAGAAAGCTGGGACTCATATAGTTCAGGCTTTGGTTTAAATACGATGGCTGTCATCCACTGATCAGATGGAATTCTGGGGAAATGGCAAACATCCCATAGTACCCCACACTTCTGCTTCCTACAAACTCGTACAGAACTGACCGGTTGCCAGGATTAAATATCACAATGCTGCTCCAACCAACAGGGCAACTCACCAAGCTCCAAAATGGCCAAAGAGTCAGTGCTTAAATTACGGGTCAATGAATCAAAACAACTGCTGAAGTATTTCGTCTGTCACTGAACAGTCGCAAAAACGATGACAGCATATTCCAAACACAGAGGAATGGAATCTGTCAAAGAAACAGCGGCCGCAAGTCAAAGCTGACCAGAAGAGACAGATGGACACTTGTCCTGATATTCGCTAAATATGACAAAAGCATGTCCTTGAAAATAACAATAAAACTAAATCAGCAATTCTGTAACCCATTCTCAACAAAAACTGTAGGTTGTAAACTTCTCGGAGTTGGAACTGATAAGAAAGCTGGCATTAAGAAATCCACAGCCAATGCACAATGACTCACAACCTGGTGAGAAGGGGAAAAAGCTGACCCTTGAGCAATGCAAAAAATAATATGATCTGAAGAGTCATTGTTCACCCTTTTTCCTGCATGCAGACAGGTTTATGTTTGGACAAAGCCAAAGGATGCCGTTAATCCACAGCCTATGTGGCCATCTTGTGGGAGTCATTAAGTCTGATGATCACTCAAGAATGGTCATAAAACAGGAATATGAGACAATTTTACAGCAGCAGGTGCAGTCTATAGTGGAAACACTGCTCCCTTATGATGTTCCCATATTCCAGGATGACAATGGCCCCATACACACTGCTAAACAAATTCGAGTGGTTTCATGAACGATTTTAGATTCTTTCCATGTCCACCCCACCATCACTGGAAATTCACACAAACCAGTGGAGTGCAGAGTTGATTTCTGCCTCTTTCATCACTCTTTGACCTGGACACTTGTCTTCTTGAGGAATTGTCCAAAAGCCCACTGCACACAGCCAACGACTTACATGACAGCATTCCAAGAAGAACCAAATCTGGAATGAAAGGGTGATGATATCGACATATTATGTTCCCGTTGTTTTGTTGACATAATGCTTATTTAATATAACACAATGCTGTCAGGGCTCAGTGTTGGGAGTACAAGTTTTTTGCATACTCCATGCAAAATCGAGAGTGTGGTGTTACCATTAATGACAGTTCCATATCTTACTGTAGTCTTCATGGGACTTATGAGAATGAAATGCATTGTAAGACATGAATAAAGACAGAATTATTTTAAAAGTACAATTCACAACTAATTATATAAATATTTGTGCAAAAAAGGGGAGTGTGACATATATTTTTTTTTATTATAGGCTGATATTGTATAAATTTTTACCTGAACCATTCTGAAGCGTTTCACTTTGCACAGCCACAACCTGGACTAACTGTGCATGTATTATGAGTCTATTAAACCAAATATTAAAATACGATTATACTGTACGAAACTCCAGTATCTCTGAAATGAAAATATGCTTCCTTAGTTGGCATAGCTGTTTATTAATGCTCCTTATGCAAACAGGTGGAACAAAACCCTATTGGAACTACAGGAAAAGTTCTGCATCGCTGGCTTAAAGAATGCCAGGTGTGAACCGTCACCTTAAACGATGGCATGTCTTTCTCATTTGAGCGATTTTTGCAGTTTTAATTTCTTTGCGCATTATCATCAAGCTCATGCACACGTTCTTTTTTGCAGACTTAAAACACATATATTATAATTGTTTAAAGGTCCATGCGTCACTGTTTAAAATATAACTGAGCCGAAAGTCCCAGGTAAGGCTGAGCGTGATGCTTTACGTGAGTTACTGCAAACAGTAAAATAAAGTCAGGGTGAATAAGCACATATCAAACTTAGTGTTTTTGTCATAAGGGAAATAAAACAAAATAAAACTTCATCTTTACGTGCTGATGATTATAATGCACTGACCGCTAAATTTCATCCAGCTTTGGCACACTGACCTCTATCTGCGTACCACAGTAAAAGGGAGCCATCTTGTGGTTGCATTAAGCAGCACGATCTATCCAGGTTGTTCACATGTACAGTATACGTAGTTGTGTATATAAGTTAAGTTATCTTATTGTTTTGTTACAAGTACAGAACCATGTATCTGTGGAAAAAATAAGAGCAGTAAATAAAATTCAATTGCTTTTTCATCAACTCAAACAGTCTGATGCCTCACTGGACCTGTTCTGGGAAAATGCTGGACATGTAGATGCAGGAGGTCCCCTGTGCCCGACCGCAGTCAGTTTAAGGTTTATCCACTAATCGGCCAATCACATTTCCACCAATCGGCCAATCACATTTCCAGGACCCAGAGACACACTCTGGACGATTTCTACATCAGAGGGCAAACACTGTAAAATTTTGTGACACCAAACCAGCTAACCATATGTGGATTTTAGGATTAAACTGGGACACTGGAATGGACCCCCACCAATACATAACAGAAAGATTTGGGGTGGAGTTCAAACCACCAGCACGGATGGCAGTAAGGTCACATTGCTGAGCCATCTGTGAGTTTAAAATCACACTGCTAATCACCTCACTGTCTACTACACTGAAAATTTCTCATATCTGAAAAAAAGACTATTTAAAAGCAAACTCAATTCCTTTCTTGCCACCCTTTACTGCCTACACTGAAAGTGAATAACACACTCTACTAATAAAACATTCGAGAACCATATATACATTTTTATAATTTATTTGATTAATTTAATTTAATTATTTCTTACATTTATGTTATTTAACAAAAAGTATTTATATCCAGGGCTAAGCATTCTTTTATTTAACTCACATTCGTTTTTTAATTAAAATTATTGTATGATAAAATCAGCATGTTCGATGGTTTACTAAAGACACCCAGTTAAAATTACATGGCATGTACATGACAGTAATTGTTATGATTCTCCAAATGCACTGAATGCAGTCATATTTCTTATGATGATAAAAATATAAAAGCATAAAATGTACTAGAAAAGTGCCAAAGTAAGATCCAAATCCCAAATTGTAGATATAAACTTAAAATCCAAGTTCCAAGAGGCCAGTAACCCACACACATGTACACACACACACACAGGCATGCGGGCTTCCTGCCATGTTGGGCAAGGACAGCAGACCAGATTACTGGTCTCACACAGGTCCTGAATACTCAGAGGGTCTTAAAACTGAGAAAGAGGAGAGATAGTCAGAGATACAAGCGAGTGATGCGGCGCCATTTCATATGCAGACGCTGCCGAAACAGCGTGTGAGCTCGGCTGAGGTCCAGCTAGGTGTGAAAGCGCCCTGTTGAATGCCGCTGACATTCAGGGGCCGCTGACGTCTGGCAAACCCAGAGCCGTCTGGCCTGACCGCACGGTGTCACAGCAGGTTTCCATCACGGCCGGGAGGATGAAGCCTTCAAACTGTCACTTCATTTGCCATACTGCACTCTCCCATTCTCTGTTTTACGTGGGTGAGAGTGCGTGCGCTTTCAGCAGGTTACATTATTTAGGTAGGACATATTAAAAAATAACAAAGTATTCCTAAAATCCGTTTCCTCCCAGACACAACACCTGTGGATATACACAGTTTCCACAACTGGATAAAAATAAAAAGAATCAAAATAGTGTAGGCAAAATACTGTAGAAAACAAAAATTTCTTTTCTAAGACAAAAAGTCAGTAAAATCCACCAGTTTCCAAAAACCTAGCAGTCATTTATTGATGAACAGAGAAACTCAACAAATAAAACAACCAGAAACTTTTTTCCTGACTGATATATCTGTTCTGCCACCCTGAAAATGCTAAGGGAAAATAATATACCACTAATGTTTTTTTTCCTACGTCTATACAGTTTCCCCTGCGTGATTAAGATCATTTATGGAGTAGACTTCACCCTATAAAAATACACAACATGCTCATTGGAGGTTATTTTTTAAACCCTCCATTATGAAAGCAGAAAGTATTTACATGAAATTCAAAAAATGAAACTTTAATGAAGGAATAGTGCTGATCGGATAGTTTGGCTGCTCAGTTCTAAGGTAGTTCCTGTGGCACTTCTAACTAATTAATCATTCACAAAAGATGTCTTCAACAAACACAGAAGGCCACCAGCTCTATTAGTTCACCTACAGTTGGGCAGAATACTTAGCAATAAATTCAAAGACTTTAGTCACTCTCTTAAAGGAAACAACATATCTACAAGAAGTAGTAAATGACTATAAATCCATCCTTTGTAAATCAATCCAGCCAGCTTGAAAAAGGGCTTATCAAACATGATTTGGTTACAAGATTTGGAACATCGCTGACCTGCATTTGACTGTTGGATCTGAATGTATTGCATACCCCATGAAATTGTTCATTACTCAACAAACACAAAAATAAACCAAAAAAAATACATATTCAAAACAAAATGTGGGGAAATAATGAAGCAATATCAGAAAAAATATAAAGTTCACTCTCAAACTAATAAAAATAAAACTAATAAAAGAAAAAAATCTAATAAAATAGTGCTGTCAGATTCCTGTTGTAACTTCAGGGAGAGCCTGGTGGATTTTCTTTAAGCTGTAACTCCTCCTCTCAAACTGAATTAAAGCTGCTGGGGTCGTCTCAAAAGACTGTCAACAGTGCAAAGACCCCGTAGAGGAGCATGCAAGGGTAAGCTACCAGCAGCTGCTGGCCCTCCATGGCCAGTGTGGATATGAAGATCTTTGAGGCAGCCAGGCTGCACCAGCCAATGACAAGGAGCGCCAGCACAACTCCCAGAATGCCCCTGAAAGAAAACATAGCAATATAATTGCCAATACCCAGAATGAGACCCAACACACAAAGAATCAATTGAGAGCTAAAAAGAAAATACTGTGGCAGCAATTCTATCCTTCAGTTTGACTGCCTTCCATTATCACCTTTAGCATTGCAGTGTATTACAAACACCCTGTGCTGTACAGTGCACTGCAGTACTCTTAGCAGTAGAGCAAATAATATTGTTCGCTACAGTTTCAAAAATGCAAAATGTAAAATATAGCATGCTACAGTCAGGAGTGGACTAACTTCTCTGGGGGTCCGAGGCTGACATGGGTAGGGGGGCCCTAAGTGGGACATTGGCGATATTTTTGGAGCCGAAAGAGAAACTAGAGGGAATTAAAAATGATGGAACATAAATAATGTTCTAATCAAAGTGCGGGATGCCAGCGGTAAAACTTACAAATCAGGGTGGGGGTGGGAAAGCTGTCAGTAAAATTTGCTGATGGGGGGAGAGGGGAATGCAGCAGTGGATGGACCAGTCAAATTTAAGAAGTTTAATCATACCCTTTGCTAAAGGTACAGGTAGTCGTGATTTTTTTTTGCTTAAATTTGTTTAATTGTATTCTCTCCACATATGTTCACAGTTTATCTACCACTCTAGTCGAGACAATATCAGACAAGAGAGTTAGTCCTGTATCTTTGTGCCATTTTCTTCTTGATAATTTGTGTCAGTTCGCTTGGTGGTGAATAGACTCCAGTGGTAAAAAACAGAGAGAGACAGAGAGGAGTGGGTTTGCAGGTCACAGGGGCTTGGTAACTTACTGCAGGGTGAAGAACACAGCAAAAGCTGAGAGGCCCACCATGGGCAGGAGGCAGTAGCCCAGCACACTAGCCACGCAGCCGTAGGACACGGATATGTCACTCATCAGGTTTAGCAGGCTGCACACGCCCCCACAGCCCATTGCGCTGACCCCATACACAAAGCCGAAATGAGACTTCCCAGCCTAGACAAGAAGAAGCACCTATATACACACATTAATTTAAAAAACAGACATACATGCAGATGCTAGGGGTGTAACAATTCATTGATTCTAACTGATATATAGATTAAGGCCATAAGATGATTACACTGTCTCAGTTAACAAATATTGATTCATATCACTAAACCATGAAGATTCGCCAAAACGTTGCTGAAAAAAAATCTGTGAAAACATTTTTCACACGAAGCCATCGAGTCACCTTAGTAGAGAGCAAAGTATTACAATACACTTTATGCACTCTAGTTCACCTTTACTCCTGTGTTTTCAGAAAGTAAACTATACATATCCAGAAATATTTTTTTGTTGTTAAAGTACTGATAGAAGATGGAATCTCTGTTGTGGATACATTTTTGTGGTATTTATGGTTTTTTCAACACATTCTGTTGTTAAAATGATAAATTAAAAATTAATTGTTGTGTTTTTGAATTCAAAAAATTTCGACAAAAATCAGCTTGTTTAACTGTATGCAAAATATTGATCATGTACTAAATCAAACTAAATTGGACTGTATCACAATAACATTTCAAATATCAGCAGACAACGGAATTGCTAAACTGAATTTATTGAATTGTATCATGGCAAAGCTTAGTATTTACGCCCCTAGCAGGCATACAGAATGTACAATCAATATGGACATAGCACACACACACACACACAAAAATGCACATAAATGTTACATATACACGGAAACATCAACATGTAGACAGACATTTATGTACAGTGTACATATTCATAATGCAAATAGGGATGAAAGGAAATGATGCAAACCTGCCTGAGCTATTTTTACACTGTTTATACTGTATGTACAGAGAGGGCAAAGATTTAGCCAGTGAAGGAAAGCAATAGCGGCATGCAAAATAAAAAACTTGCATAATCAGGAGTGATAGAGGTTTGACTTGTACATTACTGGTTAAAAGTGTTAGGCTGCCAAAGAAAATTGAATTTTAAATATGATAATGCAAATATATTTCTGTATGGCTGGTGGTGCAATTTAACAGCAGTACCAGGTATTTAGTGTCCTTAATTGCTTGATTGGTTCATATAGGATGGGAGCTGGCAGGGGGCAGAAAAGCATTCCCTGAAAACACTGCTCTATGTGAATATTCAACAATAACACAAGCTTACCATAAGCAGGGTGATAGCCAAGGCTACGCAGAAGAGTACAGGTCCAGTCAGGTCCGTCTCATGCATGATGCTGCCATCTGCTGGCTTAACTGGGTTTAAAACTGTCAGAGTCTTCTGCCAAATATGGTCGAAGTTAATTCCCAGTTCTGTGGAATTTAATATAGTTTTGAATTTAACTCACAATTAAACTTATTACAATTTATATATATATAACATCAATAAATTTTGCATTTGTCAGTTCTAAGTAAATACAAAATAATAAAATAAATAAATAAAATTAATGACAAAAAAACTATTAAACTCTTAAATAAGGATGGGGACTGTCATGCCCCGATCGTCCGCTCCTCTCATGTGCCACGCCCCCTCGTTAACCTCATGTGGAATCCCAGTGTTTTACAGCTGTTTCTGATTGTTGTCATTAGTTCATTGTATTTAGTCCGCGTTTCCGTTTATTTCCCCAGTCCGATCATTGACGTTGTTTCGTTGCGTGCTTTGTGCTGCCATTAAACCCAGTGTTCCTGATCCCTGGATTCCTGCCTATTTGTTTGCGTTTCCGGGCACGTACGCGTCATAACAGGGGACCTCACCTTCAAGTAAAGGTGGTTCATCTGCAAATCCGTCTGCAGCTGGGTGGGCTGATGTGGCAGGGACCTCCGAGGGCTGAAAGAGCTGTCTGGTGTAAGGTTGAACGGGGGAACCAGGTACAACAGAAGGGGTATACGTACCTGTGACTGTCCTGCCATAGACACTGGGGAAACACAGCCAAGCGTGCGTTGCATTTCTAATGTTAGTCCAGTATTTTAATATTAAGTTACTGTACTTTTCTATTCAATATTCTAAATAGTCGACATTTTCAAAAAATGTATTTCACACTTGCACTGATTGACGTATGTCAAACCAACTGTGATGTATTCATACACACTTAATTGTCATATGTCACATGGTGTTTTAATAGTTTTTTAAGTCTTTTATTCCTTTTTCGATAATGAAAACAATTCGAATCCATACGGCCTCCAAACTAACTGTGATGCAAGCAGACTAATATTCCTGATATGTCACAAGGCTTCTTTTCGCAAAACACCTTCAACGGGATTTTATATGGATTTTTTTGAAAAAAAAAAATTAAATAAATCCATTGGCCTCCTGATCTTTTAAGGTCAAACTACCTGTGATGTATTCAGAATAAAATTCCTGATGTCACAACGCTTCTTTTTGCAAAATAGGCTACCTTCAACGTGATTTTTTTTCAGATTTAAATATGTCTAATATATCGAATAATGAATATAAAACTAACTTAACCACGGTTTGTGAGACAACATAAATGTTTTCCAGAATACTGACACTGCAAACAAACAAAAAAACGATGAAATGATTAGCTTCTTAGCCGCACTTACATATTGGGATTCTGCCGCGTTCCTTCGAAGCCAGACACGTTCTGCTCCTGGTCATCTATGTTATAGGTTGACTGGTAGAAGTCTTGCTCAAACGGTTGGAATTCAGTCATTTCAGTCATTCTACACAATAATAATAATAATAATAATAATAATAATAATACCACCTTGTCAAACCGGTATTACCAACATGCCTGCATTGGTATGGGTTCGTATTACTTACCTTTGGGTATATTGCGGGAGTAGCGTGTGTGTAAACTTAAGGGGGTGTGGGCTTTAGGGTTGATTTGGTCCCTATAACGTCGAAACAAAACCTACGCTCAGTAAACAAACGCGTGTCACAGCTATGGAATCAATATTTCTTTGCTAAGTACAACACCGGAACTCTCTCAGAAATAGGCATTTATCGTCGAACATGCAGTATAGCCGAACTGAAACACTTGATAAAGTAAAAAAGCGTCACAGTGAAACGGCAGTACTACTGTATATAGTAAACAATAACGAATATTAATAAAACTACAGATAACATACCTTGATATAAGTGCAAAACTTGTTTTTGCTTATTAGTGTTATGCTTAGGCTATGTTTAATCACAGAACAGTCGCTGGCAAGTGGGTGGATATACTATAAATAGCAAGTTATATTTACACTAAGGGTATGTGAAACCCATGTCTCCAAATGTCCCGTCTGTGTTACAGTATATGCCGGCGTCGCTGCCATTAAACCTGAGGGGGACGTGTCCTATTTATATTTCATAATTATGCGTCTGGACCCCCCCACATTTAACGTAAAATATTATACTTTTATGCCAGTGTCCCCCCACATTCAAAATGCTTCTGACGCCCCTGTATGTAGGCCTACTATATAGATGTACTGTACAAACGCACACATTCCAATATTTTAATTACAACGCTGTTACCATAAGCGTTTTTACAAGGGCCTACTAAAAAAAATCTAAATCAAGTTAATTTAAACACACAAAATTGATTGTCCTGCTAACGGCAAGATTTTTTTCTGAAAGTTTTGGGTTTTGTTAAACCAATAACAACAACAATAAAAAATAATGACTTTATTGCAAGGCGTCAGATTCACCGTTAAAGGTTATTACTACTAAAGGATAATAACGTAGCTTTTACTGTCACTTTCTGTCGCACCACTAAAAGGAGAACTACCGCCACACAACAGATTCGCCGTCCAGAATGATCACGTGACGGACAAATCATATGATCGGAAGCGGCCCATGTGATTGTATTAGTCACATGAGCCGAGGATAGACGATCGCAAGTTTCTTACTTCTGTGCAAAAGGTGGCGGATTTTTGTTTCTTAACAGCCATTCTGACAAGGTAAATTTAAATTATACGTCTTTCCCAAACACAATTGCATGTTGCTATCCTTTCTTACGTGTAAATAATATGCAATAACTTGGAAAATTAATTAAATACTGGCGAATAATTAACTGCTGCACGGGGCAAATATAACGGTTATGGATGAGAAATTATAACAACTTTCCCCAGGCAGCAAATATAGTATCGAGTAGCGAAGTTATTTATATGAGAGTTAAAAGATGCTCTTTCAAATTACTGTCACAATTGCTGTAGCATTGTACGTTTATATTGTAACTTTATATCGGTTCCTCTGAAAGTTTGTTTCAGATTTTTTGATCCAAACGAAACACAGATTTGCAACAATGAAACTGGTAATCCTTGAAGATTATGTCCAGTCCAGTGAATGGGCTGCCAAGTATATCCGCAACCGCATCGTCCAGTTTAACCCAAGTGCTGACAGATACTTTACTTTAGGATTGCCCACTGGTAAGGGGATTTTATTTGTTTTATGGATTGAAACTTATTTAACCCAGACTAAAACATTGTGAGTTACAGCATTAGTCTTGTTCGGTGGAAGATCTACATAACAACCCACTGCACCCAGTGCTGTGTACATTTGTGCCATCTACCACGTGTTCCTCCGTACCCTGGGATTCCCGCCCCCCTTATTGTGTTGGTAAAATGCATGTCTCCCCCCTGCATTTTTCAGTATTCCTGCCGAAAGTCCGTTCTTGCTGGTTTCTTTACCACTGACCTTTTAAACGTGGCGGAATAAACGAGCCTGCTTGAACAGAGTTCTCCCTGTTCGCCTCGCGAAGTGTTCGCCAAAGTTATGTTTGTAAGTTTGTCACATCTAGCCATTATTTTGGTATTATAGGTGGCACTCCGCTTGGCTGTTACAAGAAGTTAATTGAATACTATGAAAGTGGAGATCTTTCATTTAAATATGTGAAAACCTTCAACATGGACGAATACGTAGGTAAGTTTCTGTTTCACGAGTATGTCCATGTTGAACACTGCTCAAAAAGAAATATGAAGCGTGCTTGCATGAACATTTTGATAAGATATTTCAAAGAATTTACAGATTTACCTAATTTGCATGAAATAAAAACAGAACACTAAAGACCAGGGGCCTCGTGTATAAACGGTGCTTACGCACAAAAATGCTGCGTACGTCCGTTTCCACGCTCACGTCGAGATGTATAAAAACGCAACTTGGCGTACTCCTACGCACATTCTCATGGCAGCTCCAGCGTACGCACGTTTCTGCTCGGTTTTGTAAATGGACGGCACCCAGTGGCAAGTCATTGCTACTGTGGTTTCCCTTTTTAAGCTCACATTCATGACGCTGACTTTATCCAATACACCAACATTAATTGTATGTTGTTTACAAATGTACGGCACCGGATTTTAATCAATTTGTAGCAATAAAATGGTGCAGAAAATGACTCTTAGGGAGTTTTTCCTTGCCACCATTGCCTTTGGATTACTCAATGGGGGGTCCTTACTATGGAGGACTAGACATGACATAATTATAAATAAATAAATGTGTGAATAAATAAGTAAATACTGAAATAAATAAATACATAAATACAGTTTGGCCATGAAAATTGCTAAATAGATTCCTATATTTGTTTATTAACGTATTTAAATATTTATGAATTTCCACATTTCGTCATTTATTTATTTATGTATTTCCACATTTCTTCATTTATTTATTACTGTATTTCCACATTTCTACATTCATTAATTTCTGCATTTCTGTCTCTGTATGTTAATAAGGTGGGCGGTCCCAAAAGCATGATTGGTTAAAAGTCGAGGCATTACTAATTGAGT